TGGATGTAACGAGTAACGAAACGCTGTATAGAAATGTAGTGAAGTAGAAAGTACAGATACTTACTGTTAAATGTAGTGGAGTAAAAGTAGAAAGTATCCATTATTAAATCTACTTAAGTAAAGTACAGATACACGGAAATTGTACTTAACCACTGACGCCCAGTTAATCTAACTTATTTCGGTTTGTTTTGCAGTGAGAGGAGGAGGAGGGAGGAGGAAGACCAATGAGGTCCAGAAAAAGAGGAAAATGGAGGATTACCCAGCTCCAGAACTCATAAAATACTTTTTTTATTTTCTATGGAGGCTTTTTGGAGGCGTCTTCCTCTCCTATCTGTTCTGTTTTATAAACAGGGAAGTGTAGTATTCTTAATACTCAAATAAGCTCTGAAATCTTTATTATACTCTGATTCGTATTTTTAATATAACAAATAAGCTCTGAAATCCTTATTATACTCTGATTCATATTTTTTAAATGACAAATAAGCTCTGAAATCCTTATTATTTTCTGATTTTTCTTTTTTTAAAATAGAAAATAAGCTCTGAAATCCTTATTATACTCTGATTCATATTTTTAAAATAGCAAATAAGTTCTGAAATCCTTATTATGCTCTGATTCGTATTTTTAAAATAGAAAATAAGCTCTGAAATCCTTATTATATTCTGATTCATAATTTTTAAAAAACTTTTGAATGAGAACATGTTAAGTATAACTTTCTGAAAAGGTAAAAATCTGTTTGTTTAAAAAAAAAAAGAGCCATGAAATGGACAATATTAAGAAATAAAGTGGCAAAAATGTGTTTTTTGAGTCAATATATTTGTCAAACAAGCTCTGAAATTCTTATTATATTCTGATTCGTATTTTTCAAATAGCCTTTGAATGAGAAAAATGTTTAGAATAACTTTCCGTAAAGGTAAAAATCTGTTTGTTTAAAAAAAAAAAGAGCCATGAAATGGACAACATTAAGAAATAAAGTGGCAAAAATGTGTTTTTTGAGTCAATATATGTGTCAAACATAAGCTATTAATGAACAAAGCTAATAAACTTTTATCCTTCTCACTGCTGTCATGTTTTATTTAACCCGACTATGATTCCCTTTTATGATTTATTTTACTGGTTTATTGAAGTCGGTTTGGGATTTCCAAATCCACTGTGAAAACTAAATAAATAAAGTTAGCAAACACAAACATAAATGAGACAAACAATAACCTGAAGAGCAGGAAACAAGACTTACAAAGTCTGCCAAAAAATGGCAAAACTTACAAAGAAAATAGATAAATAAAATACCTCGTTTGCTGCAAGAAAAAGGAAAATATCCATATATATATATTCATATATATAATATATTAGCCGTAACTTCTGCAAAAATCCTTAACGAGAGCTCCAACAAGACTCCTCTTGACTTCAAAATAAAAGCGCTCTCTCTAAACTTCAAAACAAAAGCAAATCCACTCTATACTAAATAGTACAATATAAAAGAAATACAACTTACATTAATTCCAATTAGACAAAAACCCTTGAAAAGAATAACAAATTATAGACTTATAATATTTCAACATTATGCATAAGACAGTAAAAAAGCAACAAGTAAATCAACGCTGTTCAGAGAACATTTTAAAGGTCCAAACACCTCGTTTTGTGTGAAAAACTAATCTGAAGAAGACTAAACATCCTAAATATTTCACTGAAAACACAAATCTTTGATTCATAGTGCAGCATTATTATATTATTATTATTATGCTATTTTATCATCAGCCATGTTCATTAGTAGCAGTTTTCTCATGGAGTTGCACATTTTAGTGTCATTTTATTGAATTATATCTATATATCTGCATAAAATCATGGAAAAATCAGGTGTCCATACTCAATTTTTTTCATTTACTTTGGTTTTGCTGGAGTCTACAGCCAAACTGGAGCATTTTGGCCTTAAAAGTAACTTAAAAGTAAACTTAAAAGTTACTTAAAAGTAAAAGTAAAAGTACATTAATGTGATCTACTGATGAAGTTCTATTGATATGATAAAAAATACTTGAGGGAGAAAAGGCAGATTTCAGAAAATAGGAAATTCATCTTATCCAGATTAGAGCAACCAAAATATCCTTAATCTACATTTTTCTTTTCAATCACTGCCTCAAAGTACTTTATCTGAGTCCGTTTGGACTTCTTATTGAAATTAAATAAACCTTTTGAGGTTTGAATGAATCTTGTGGAATGTTTTTGAGGCTTTTTGATGGGAAAGTTAGAGATAAATCAGTTTTTAACTACATGAGTTTACTCTGTGGAATTTCCATTACGGTTTAATAAATTGCTGATTAACGTAGTTAATCCACAAAGGCAGATGCAGCCTCATCCAGATGTTTTTGTGAGAGTGGCGCCCCCTAGTGTCTGTTTTTATTAGCAATGCAAACACCAACAAACTGACAAACTTTGCTGTTTTGGGCTGTTTTTTGCCCTTAAGGCTTCCATAAAACTGCATAAAGCTGGTAAAAAGTACAGGAATATTTTTAGAATGAGCTCAAATTATGAGTCTTTTTTAATTAAAGAAACAGAAACATTATTTACAGGGAGTACAAAGATAATATGGTTCGATTGTCATTGTAAATATATCTGAAAAAGGAAAGAAAAAAAAAAACAAGTTGCTGTATATAAAAAGGTGAAACATCCCACTCATACGTCCTTCCAGATACAGCTGGATAAATAAAGACGATAACAGGAACATTATTGTAGAGAAAATCGAGATAAAATGCACAATTTAAACACTGCACAGTTAAAAATGACACATAAAACCACATAAAAATGACACTTCAAAGCCCTTTTCAAAATGAAAACGGCCCATCACAACAAACTTTGTGTTTTTTTGTGGACGGATTTCCTCAGACAGGTCTGGATCTTGAATCTTAGGGACATAAAAATGTCTAAATGAAACTATAGATGTGCTTCAGACTTTGGTATAACAGCCCTCAGAAGTGGGCGGAGCCAAAGAGTTGACGTTTACTAGGAGATTATGACATTATTGGAGACAAATGAAGGACAATTAACTCCAAAACTGTTTTTCAAATAATGAAAAATGGCCCTAATGATGCTAACATGTGGAAATATTGTCACATCTTGGCCGCTTGTAAGAGGCTTCATTCAGTCTGCATCAAAGATCTGCTTCAGATTCTTTCCGATTCCTTCAGATTTCTTCAGATTTCTTCAAATTTCTTCAGATTTCTTCAGGTTCCTTAATATTTCTTCAGATTTCTTCAGATTCCTTCATATTCTTTCAGATTTCTTCATATTTTTTCAGATTCCTCCAGTTTCCTTCAGATTTCTTCATATTCTTTCAGATTCCTCCAGATTTCTTCAGATTCCTTCAGATTTCTCCAGATTCCTTCACATTCCTTCATATTCTTTCATATTTCTTCAGATTCTTTCAGATTCCTTTAGATTTCTTCCGATTTCTTCAGTTTACCCTGAAATTTCTTCAGAATCCTCCAGATTTCTTCTGATTCCTTTAGATTCCTTCAGATTTCTTTAAATTTCTGTCAAATTTCTTCAGATTCCTTCAGATTTCTTTAAATTTCTGTCAGATTTCCTTCACTTTTCTTCAGAATCCTCCGGATTTCTTCATATTCCTTCAGATTTCTCCACATTTCAGATGGAGTGAAGCCTTTAGATTCCTTCAGAATCCTCCAGATTCCTTCATATTCCTTCGTATTCCTCAGATTTCCTCCACGTTTCAGATGGAGTGAAGCCTTTAGATTCCTTCATATTCCTTCGTATTCCTCAGATTTCCTCCACGTTTCAGATGGAGTGAAGCCTTTAGATTCCTTCATATTCCTTCGTATTCCTCAGATTTCCTCCACATTTCAGATGGAGTGAAGCCTGTTGGAGAGCAGCCTGTGCTCGTCCAGCTCGTCTCCGCTCTGCAGGGCCAGACGCAGCTTTTCCCAGAACACCTCGGGGTGCGTTTGGGCGCGGGGCCAGCTCAGGTAGGTCTTTTTCTTCAGCAGGTTCCTCATGCGGTGGTACGGAGACAGCAGGTAGCTGGGAATGTCCTCCAGGAAGACCAGGATCAGCACGTCCTTGTGCTCGTCAAACAGCCGGAAACTGAGGAGGCGAGAAGCAGAAAAAAGTTAGGACGGCACAAAAAGACGCACAGGGTCATGTCGAAAGGAGGTTTAAAGAGAAAAAACTGGAGAAAAGTGATTTTAAAAAGGTCAAAGAGAGGCAGAAGAACTCAAAGATGTGGCAAAAATTCAAATTAATGGACACAAGATGGCAACGAAACAATAAAAAATCACACAAAAATGAGCAGAATGATTCCGTAAAAATAAGTCAAAACAACACACAACTCTATAACAAATAAAGTAATTTTAGTGATGTAAATCTGTCCCAAAAAGGAGTGTTTAGTACCCAGAAAAAGAGAGTAAGACACACGTCCTTGTGCTCGTCAAACAGGCGGAAACTGCAAAAAAAGACGCACAGGGTCATGTCAAAAGGAGGTTTAAAGAGAAAAATCTGGAGAAAAATGATTTTAAAACTGTCAAATAGAGGCAGAAGAACTAAAAAATGTGGCAAAAATTAAAATAAATGGACACATTATGGCAACGAAACAATAGAAATGAAAACAAAACAGCCCAAAAAATTAGCTGTATTATCCCGGAAAATTAACACACAACTCTATAAGAAATTAAGCCATTTTAGTGATGTGAATCTGTCCCAAAAGGAGTGTTTAGTACCCAGAAAAAGAGAGTAAGACACACGTCCTTGTGCTCGTCAAACAGGCGGAAAATGCAAAAAAAGACGCACAGGGTCATGTCAAAAGGAGGTTTAAAGAGAAAAAAACAGAAAAAATTATTTTAAAACTGTCAAATAGAGGCAGAAGAACTAAAAAATGTGGCAAAAAATTAAAATAAATGGACACAAGATGGCAACGAAACAATAGAAATTCACGAAAAACAGCCCAAAAATGAGCCGTAAAAATAGGTACAAATAACACACAACTCTATAAAAAATGAAGCCATTTTAGTGATGTAAATCTGTCCCAAAAAGGAGTGTTAAGTACCCAGAAAAAGAGAGTAAGACACACGTCCTTGTGCTCGTCAAACAGGCAGAAAATGCACAAAAAGACGCACAGGGTCATGTCGAAAGGAGGTTTAAAGAGAAAAAACTAGAGAAAAAATTATTTTAAAACTGTCAAATAGAGGTAGAAGAACTAAAAGATGTGGCAAAAATGAAAATAAATGGACACAAGATGGCAACGAAACAATATAAATTCACACAAAAGAGCCCAAAAATGAGCAGAATGATCCCGTATAAATGAGTCAAAATAAGTCAAAATAAGCCACAACTCTATAAGAAATGAAGCCATTTTAGTGATGTAAATCTGTCCCAAAAAGGAGTGTTTAGTACCGAGAAAAAGAGAGTAATACTAAAGAAAAAGGGCTGAATCCGTGTGATGATGATGGCTTAAATTACCCGGCTGCCTGCACCTCTCTGGAGCACCACTCGCTCTCCAGATATCGGTGGCTGATCACACAGATGGTCTTCCTGCTCCCATAGATGGCGTCCGTGATGTTATCCGTGATGGCCTTTCCTGGGAAAAAGACGAGAGTCGGTCGCTTAATCCAGTGTTTTTCAACCTTTTTTGAGCCAAGGTACAGTTTTGCATTGAAAAAATCTCGAGGCACACCACCAACCAAAAATGTCAAACACATCTGTATCCGCCTATAGTAACACTATAGTTATTCTTATTTTATTCTAATCTTATCTTAAGTGTCTTGAATAGGAATCAAATAAACACAAAAATGTATTTTTATCTTATTCTATATTTCTTCTTTCAAATTGCACTTAACATGTCCACTTCAATATACAAAATTATATACAAAATCTAGTCGTAAGGAATTATTACATGATTACTCCACCAGTCACTAGAACAGCACAGACACTCAAAAATGGAATATTATTTGCAGATAATTAATTCCTTATCAAAAATTCTTTTTAGACCAATAAGGTGAAATAGGATGATTTTCTACGGCACACCTGACCATCACTCGCAGCACACTAGTGTGCCGTTTAAAAACACTGGCTTAATCTCACAGTAATGCTCTCACAAGAAAATTCACAAATGTTTGAGATATTATGGGAAATGTTCACATTAATGTGGCCAATTTTAGCCAATTTTTAAATGTCTTTACTTTAAAAATAGACATCAATCTGCTGAACTACAGGGCCACAAAAGGGAAAAAATTAAACATCTGAACACTCAATCATTAATGGGTGAGGGGGGCTCATCCTTTAGGCTTTGTCTAAAAACATGGCCGCCATCTTGAAAGCGGCCATATTGGATCAAAGGCAATTTTTTCCAATGGTCATGTAGCACATCAAAGAAGTCCCAAATGTACATAATCAAATTATTAAAAACTTGGTTTTGCATAATATGTCCCCTTTAAGTCATTGACTGGCAGCATTTTTCAGAACAGAGAGTCCCATACTGCCAGAGTTTTTTGAGCATTTTGACTGATTTTTCCAGAGCCACAGAATAGTTTGTGCTATGACTATGTAAACACCGAACACGCCAAAAGAAAGAGGAGACTCTCTTCTTTCATCAGGAAAAAAAATGTGTTTCTACCTTATTCCGTTCCTCCTGGACTTGCGTCTCACCGGCGACATGTTCTCTCATAGCGAACCGTTACCTTTTTCTTATTTGCCTACAGTCTATGCTCATCTCCCATCAAAAGTGGCACTGCCCCCTAGAGGGTAAATTTGTTACTACATACTCTGTCTAGAAGCCTGATATTTACGGACAAGCTTTAGCAGATCGTCCCCCAGCCACTCTCGTTGAAAAACATAAAAGACCTCTATAGACGTCTTTGGCAGCCAGTGAGTTAATGTTAATAAGGATAAAATGTTATCCAGAGATGGATCGTCACGGTGGGGAGTGGGGGGGGTGCGAATAGTTTTCTTCTTGCTATGGGGATCGTAACAGAAAATAATTGAGAAGCACTGCCATAATGGATGGATGGATGGTGGATGGATGGACTTTTTCCCTCCTATCCTAACCCTAACCCGTACCTCTACCCCCCACAGCTCCTATCCTAACCCTAACCCGTACCTCTACCCCCCCACAGCTCCTATCCTAACCCTAACCCGTACCTCTACCCCCCCACAGCTCCTTCTGTAGTCCCTCTACCTCTATCTCTATCTGATAATTGCGATAAACGCACCTGGCTGGAAGTCCCGATGGTGCAGACACAGCCTCCATCCCTGCTCCCCCTCCAGTTTGGGCAGCAGCTTCCTGACCACCCAGCCCTCGTCGTGGGCGTTGTAGGACACAAAAGCGTCGTACTGATGCGGGGCCATCCTGTTCCTGTTTTTCCTGTCGAAGAGCCTGGCCCTGAAGAGGTGGTAGGCGAACACCAGCTGCCACCGCGTGAAGTGGTAGGTGAAGGAGGCCGCCAGGAACCCGAGGATCAGGCAGGAAGTGGAGACGTAGCGCAGGAATCCGGCGCCCACCAGGCAGAACTGCAGGCTGAAATCCAGCAGACTCGTGTTCCTGAAGTGGGCCGGGTGGTTGCAGGTGAAGGAGTAGGCGTGGGCCACCTGTAGGGATGATGGGACGGTGTTAGAATAACGTTCCATAAGTTATCATGCGGGCGGCACGGTGGTGTGGTGGTTAGCACTGTCGCCTCCCAGCAAGTAGGTTCTGGGTTCGAATCCCGGGGGAACCAGGACCTTTCTGGGTGGAGTCTCCATGTTCTCCTGTGTCTGTGGGTTCTCTCCGGGTTCTCCGGCTTCCTCCCACCGTCCAAAAACCTGCATGTTAGGCTGATTGGAGATTGGGGAAATTGCCCTTAGGAGTGAATGTGAGTGTATGTGGTTGTTGGTCCTTGTGTGTCTCTGTGTGGCCCTGCGATGGACTGGGGACCGTCCAGGGTGACCCTGCCTCTCGCCCGTTGACCACTGGGATAGGCTCCAGTTCCCCCCGCGACCCCATCAGGGAATAAGCGGTATTGATAATGGATGGATGGATGGAAGTTATCATGCATTCTTTGAATTACATATGTGTGTGTGTATGTAATTGGGTTAACTGTGCTTGTGTGTTAACAAGATGGGTATGTCAGCTCTTTTAGTAAAAGACTCAGACACCCTGTGTGCAAAAAGAGCCATACCGCAGGTCTTTCATCCCTGCTGCTACCAGATTGTACAACTCTGCACTTTAACAACTGCTGTGCAATTGTGTTATATTTATTGACCTGTGTAATATGTGTACTGTGTGTGAGCCATCAATGATTGTATATATTTTAATCACCCAAATCTCTGCGCTGTGTTGCTTCCAGGTATATTTGTTTGTTTTTGCTGGACTTTATGCACCTTTTCCTCCTTTTGAACTCTAACCGATGTGTGACCAGTGAATTTCTCCACTGTGAGATCAATAAAGCTCTTATCTTATCTTATCTTATCTTATCTTATCTTATCTTATCTTATCTTATAAGCACAAGCTGTTTTGCAACAACTGGACTTTGTTCCTCCTGTTACATCGGCTGTCTTCCTGTTCAATCAGTGCATCCTGTGATTAAGAACAATGTCCAATCAAACGTGTGTCCCCACTGTCTGTGGAGGAGATGATGTAACAAATCTGTGATAGAGGGAAACCAAATAAATGGAGAGGAGAGCAGGAGAGACCTCAGAGTAGGTTGGCGATTGTAAGGTGCTCTCTTTGCACTCCTTGCAAGTATTCACTGAACTTACTGTGTCTGTGTCTATTTTTGTCCTCTTACAGAAATGAGTTTAGAAGTGTTTAGGGGCATAACCCTGACAGACGGTTTCTGAAAACCGTACGAAACCGTTGGGTTCGACTGTCTCGGTTCGATTCGCGTGTGTTGCGTTCGGTTCATGCTGCTCCTTTTTTCTCAGAGGGAACTCAGCTCAACTCAACTCAACTTTATTTATAAAGCGCTTTCAGTCAGCCAAGGCTAAAATCAAAGCGCTGTACAGGTCATTTGAGCAGATCATAAAACACAATTATCACCATAACACAAGACAAACTCAAAGATTAAAAAAACAGTAAGAGTAAAAAATAAATAAAAAAAAAGATAAAACAAAACCAAGTAAGAGAGGGAAATTAAGACGA